TGCTCATCTGTCTCTCTGTAAACAACAGCTCTCAGTGATTGGCTGTGACCGGTGACGTGCAGCCAATCAGAGAGAGCTGTGGGCGGGACATTACTGTGACCACAGAGAGAGACATCAGCGCTCTATCAATGTTATTGGCAATCGCTTAATAAAAACATCCCCACTGATAACAGTTGATCCCTAACACACACACACACAACCACACAACCACACACACACACACACACACACCCACACACACACACACAGGTAGGTCTGTCTGACAGAAACAATTCAGACTTCAGTATCAACAACTGGGAACAATTAGAGTGAGGGACGCTGGAGGAAAACAGAGGAAGGAAACGTGAAAAATGAACCAAGGAAAGGAAAAAAGTGAAAGGAAAGAAAGGTGAGAAACAGACAGGAGTTCAAAGATCAGCCCAGGAAAGGAAAGGAAAGGAAAGGAAAGGAAAGGAAAGGAAAGGAAAGGAAAGGAAAGGAAAGGAAAGGAGATGTTACTCAGGATTCTTCTCCTCCATCCTAAACTCTCCCATCCATCCCTCCATCCTCATTAACAGCTGCTGAGCTGCTGAACAAACAGACGAAGACAGAAAGCAGAAGAGGAGAGAGGATGAGGTTCAGACAGACGACATGAAGGAGGGATCAGCAGTTAGAGGAATGAACGGAGGACGAGGAAGGAAAAGGAGGAGGAGCAGCAGGAATGCAGACAGATGACATAACAACAGAATAAAGGTTTCAACACATTTACAGCTGTTGATCTGTGAGTTAGTCTGGAGCTTATATCAGCAAACAGAGAACTATTGTTGGTTTACATCTCCAGGTTATCCTCAGCAGCAGACGAACAGCAGTTAGACACGAAGCGACCACGAAAATACAGAAAAACAACAAACCTGTATTCATACGTTAACATTTAAGGATTTTATAGACACAATAATCAATTTTAAAAAATCTTGGTTTTCTGATCAAACCAAGCAAAACAGGACAAAGAACAACCAGAGATGTAAAATGACCTCAAACACACCCCAGAAAACAATACGAGACACAAAAAGACCAGAAAGACACAAAAGAGACGCAAAACAGCCAAACTATGATCATCTAAAGTGTCCATAAGGATGTGAAAATGAACAAAATCTGGAAATAAAAACGTGAAAAACTGCCAAAATGAGACACAGAAACATGTTTACGTGACCAAGAATGTCCACAGAGACATAAACAATGAACAGTAATGGAGGAAAAATGGGCTTAAACAATCAAAAAGAGACGCAAAATGTCCCAAAAATAACCAGAAAGACAAAATGACCAAAAAAAATCACCACAAAAAACTGATAAAGACCTGAAATGACCATAAAGTGATAAAATAGGAACAAAAAGATGCAAAAAAAAGTCCAAATGTGACGCAAAATGACCAAAAAGAAAAGTCAAATTTACCACAATTGGACACAAAAGAGACGCAACACGACAAAATGAGCAACCGTGACAGAAACAGCCTGCCTACAAACACACTCAACGTATACCTATCATGCTAACTCCAACCATCACAACAACATTTATCTAATCTATCGGAATTCATTAGATTTTTAATCAACCAATCATTGGCGTGCACGTTAGGAACACGTCACCTGGACTACAGAACGGTTCTGAGGTCAATAAACCCCATAAATGATCCGACGGCTGCCTGAGATCACGTTCACACCGAATATAATCAGAACCTTTCACTAAAAACATTCAGCAGTCTGCTGGCAAATTAGTGACAACAAGCAGAACCTCAGAGCAGCGCCGCCACAGAACCTCCTGATGCTAAAAGCAGCAGCAGCAGCGGGTCAGAGCCTCGGGGACGCCATGACGCCTGATCCACGGCTGCTGGAAGCGATTGGACACGGTGGATAAAATGCTCTCCGTCCATCCAGAACCCTGTCAGTCAAGGCAGCAGCCGGCCGGGCCAGCCAGGAGTCAGGAGGTGGGACGGAGCCCGACACACGACACCGGCCCGCCACACCTGACGTCTACACGGGGAGCGCTGGGGGAGAACCTGACGGCTACAGGTGCTCACTGTGATTCATGAGCTGGAAAACGGCTGTAGATGGGATTCTACTCATGTGTCTGAGACGAGAGGCGGGTCCAGGTCCAGTCCAGTGGAACAATCACAGATTTGTGCATTATGGCAGGTGTTTGTTCATGTCACTCAGGAAACACCACAAGAAGGAAGCCTGGACTGGGTCTGTGGCTGCACTCTGAGCAGGAGCTGAACCCAGACACCAGGCTGGAGCTCCGGCTGCCTCTTTGTTTACACTGTCATCAAACACCGAGCCATCAGAGACGCATCGCTCCAGAACCACACGGCCATTCATTCACTCAGGTCCAACGTGTGCTTCTGTGAAGACGCTGCATCACACTTACTCACTCTGGATCCACAACTCAGACCTGTCAGATATTCTGGCTCAGTTCTGAGGACCTCATGCGCTCTCAGACCTGCAGTTATTTTCTGCTTTATAGAAACCTGTGAAGCCACGTTCATGGTTCTGTGTCTCCAGAAATCAAACTCCAACAGACATGAAGTGTGCTGAGGACGCAGACAGAACAGGTTCTATCAGATCAGAACCACTGAATGGATCCAACAGAGGACACAGCCTTCATTATTGGACCTTGAAAACAGCAAAACGTGCAAAATGTCCAACCAGGCTGGTGCTGATCCAGAAAGTTCCTGTCAGTGTCTGTCTATAGATGGATCCATGGATCTACTAGAACCCAGTCTCTGGTCACATTTCACCACCTGTTGAGGCTCTAACATCAGCAGAACCTGATGTGGTGAAGTTGGACCAGACAAGGTTCTGGTTTTAGATGTTTAGACTAACCTGAACCTGGAGCTCACAGGTTCTAGATGCTGGTTCTACATGTCGGTTCTAGGTGTTGGTTGCAGGTGTTGGCTCTAGATGTCAGTTCTAGGTGTTCGGTTCTAGGTGTGTTTCTGGTTCTGATCAGTCACCAGAGAAAACTTTACAAAGTGCATTCTGGGTAAACTTTCCAGGCTCATATCAGCGTGTGTGGTGGTGGTTGGTCAGAACCAGGTGTAGACGATGGAAGGACCGTTTACCTCCAGAACCTACCAGAACCATCTGCAGACAGGATCCACTCTGAGGAGAAACTGATTCTGAGGAACCAGCTGACTGAAGTCTAAATGTGGTTTAACTCTCAGATTCTGCACCAGGTGTCTGGTGCCTACTTACTACTTCCAAGATAAACAACATAAAGTTAGATCCAAAGTGCGTAAAGACGTTTCTAATGTTGCTTTAAATAAATAAATGATGCACAGCATGAAGAAAGCAGCTCATTGGTCGGTGCATCTCTGGTACCAGAGTCAGATTAAAGCCTTCAGATCTGCTGTCTAGTGTTCAGATAAAGCTCTAGAGGAGAACAGGAGCTGCTCCTGGCTGCTGGGATCAAACACTGGTTCAGGCAAACGTGCATCACTCTGGGCGTGGACATGCTGCTGGGTTTCAGGTTAACGGGTCAGTCGGGGCTGATGAACTGCACTCGGTTACCACAACAACCAGATACTCACCGGTAAGGTGGCGTGTTCTACCGGGGTTCCCTACGGCGAGAAACAGACCAGCACATTCAGACACTGAAGCTCTGTGGTATGAATGGGAGGAATGAGAGGCTGAAGGAAACTCAGAGAGCACAACGGCTGCATGGAAACAAAGCTCCTCAATCAAACCAGAGCAGGACAGCGGCAGCTTTTTCCACCTCAGAGTATTTACTGCAGCAGACCCGGAGATGATGCTGATCTGGACTCATCTGGCGCTGTGCTGCAGCATGTGCATGGAGCGGATGCTGCAGCCAGATCACCTCCGACCCACGGAGCAGCTTTAAACTGGAGCTGCAGCAGCTTCACAGCTTCCTCTCATTCTCACGTGATCACGTTCACTCCTGAGGCCGTTTCCTGCCGTCTTTAAATCTGAGCCCGATTGGACTATGAGCCGTCCTCTACCGAACCCTGAGCAGCGCTACTGGCTGCTCTGCTCTGTGGTGAGGAAACCTGAGCCTGCAGCTCTGCTTCCAGCTGGAGCATTCAGAGCAACCAGCCACACACACACATATAATCTATCTATAGATCTACACACACACTGAGGGCGTCTGATCGCTGCTGCGTGTCGCTGAGCCTCCGCCTCAGAAACATCACCAGTGATCAGTGATCTGTGGGTTTCACCATCAGTTACATAACATCCAGGACTTTGCTTTTCAGAGCCATACCATCATACAACAAGCCTGGATCCTTGGTTTCCCTCCACAGTCTGTTCTCCACCTCCAACCACATCTGCCTGGAGGCTCCACAGCTCCACCTGGATCAGAGCCTCCAGCCTCACATTGATGTGCTACAACTGTCAGACCTGCTCAGCACGTCATGATGTTCTCCATGTTTGTGATCCACTCCTCCATATTAAAGTATTCTGTGTTTAGTTCTGTGACTGAGACCTGCAGCTTCATGTGGGTCAGTAAACACTTCATCAGTTTGGTTGTTTTATGAGCTCAAACATGGAACTTTCCACTCCTGTGTTTCTCCAGGACCTCCATGGGCCCTGAGAGCCACTTCAGCAGTATCTGGTTCTGCTGGGTGTAACTCGACCAGCTCTTATTGTGGCGGGGCGCGCCAGCCGGCATTAGATCCATAGCATCTGATCTACTTAGAGGCCCGCGCTGGAGTGTGTGTGGCGGGGTCACGTCCGGGGCTTTGGGGTGAAGCTAAAGCTCCTTAGAGGAGCTGGAAAACGTTTATCTCCAGCACCAGTGTGTGTGGCCTTGTGGCCCGCTGAGACCGGATCTGCATCGAGAGGGGAGCTTCATGGGTCGGTCCATGAGCTGAACACACGGATCAGACGTGTGCTGGACGCTGTGGGCGCTAACATCAAACACAACACGATCTCAACGTCCAGGCTTCTGGTGTTGAAGGTCTGACTGCCTGTAGGTCTCTGGATGTTCTGGTCTCTGAAGCCTGGAAGGTCCCACAGGTCCAATATGTGATATATAAACACAAATCTTTATTTAACTATTCTGCTCTTGTTAAATGTATTTACTGTAATTGTCCCTCCATGAGCTGGTTTATTCCAGCAGCTCTAATAGCTGCTCTGCACAGCAACTCATCGGCTGAGCTCTGAATGAGTTCTGAAGAACTTTACTGCTGATAAAACTCTTTACAAACAGCTTCACAGTGAGTCAGGCTCATTAAACATGCAGAGCTTCATGATAAACTCACTTTACACCCCATATGATCAAAGACAACAGTTTATAATCACAACTAGCTCGTCGTGGTGATTTAGTTTAGTTATTTCAACTATAAATCTATGAATCATTTCACAGACTTCTACATAAAGTTCATGTAAAACATCACTTCCAGCTCCATCTGTGGCGTCTGTGGAGATCAACTTAAGTCCTTTAACGATGTCTAGTCGCTCTGTACAAGTCTCAAGCCACTTCTGATGAATTCTGACTAACTCTGAGCATTTATTTCTGACGTTGTGAACAGGTTTTGAGGTGTTTAGAGTGTTTGTAAAGACTGACTTCCATCATCCTAACAGCAGACGTCTCTGAGTTCTGTCTCCTCCTTCATGTGGTTCTGGTTCCACAGAGCTGCAGGACTTTAGAGAACCATGAAGCTCAGTGAAGGAACATGAGACGGGAACCACCCAGAAACTGTTGCTTAGTGCCTAAAAGCTGACTTTTCATCCAGTTTCAAGCTAAAATGATCCGTGTTCAGATCATTTACCAGCTGCTCTCTCATCAGTAACCCTGATAACCCTGATATGCTTTTGGTCTGCAGTCGGTGGTCTGGAGTGTGAGCTGTGATGTGAGCTGCAGGAATCCTCTGTCTGAACGCTGCAGCGTGGTGTCTGCAGCCACTGTAATGTGATTACAGTTTAAGCTGCTGCTGCTGACCTGAGCGGCTCTGACCGGCTTACGGGCCTCATGTTAACGAGCTGAGGCTCTAACGAGCTAAAGCAGATTGTGCTGCCCTGTGATGCGTCATGCTGACATGCAGGGAGACTTTAACGTCACGCCTCAACACGTCCAGAGCGTCCACACCAAAACGTTACTGTCTTCAGATGAGTGTCCTTTGTCCTTGAGATGCAGGTGGATGCTGAGTCCTGTCCTGAGGAGCTTGTGGTGTACAGGTCATAGTTCCTACAACACTGGGCCCAGAACGGGCCAACCAGGACAGCAGGAAAGGAGGAGGAACACAAGCACATCAAGACAGCACTGAAAACCTGTAGCTACCCAAGATGGTCCCTCATCAGGTCCTCTACAAAACCCAGAGGAGACAGAGAAGAAGAGACCATCATAGTCTGTGTTGCAGGAGTTTCTGAGAAGCTCAGGAGGATTTTCAACAAACACAACATCTCAGTTCACGTCAAGCCCACCAACACCCTGAGACAGAAGCTGCTCCACCCTCAGGACCCGACACCCAGACACAAACAGAGCGACGTGGTGGAGGCAGTCCAGTGCAGCGAGGAACGCCCAGACCTGGACATCAGGGAGACTAAACCACCGCTCCACAAGGCATGGCTCAGCACAGAAGCTCCTCAGGACAGGACTCAGCATCCACCTGCATCTCAAGGACAAAGGACACTCATCTGAAGACAACAACGTACAGATGTTGGGCTGCAGGGAGGACAGATGGTTTCAGAGAGGGGTGAAAGAAGCATCTATGTCAAACTGGAGAGACCATCCCTCAGCAGAGGTGGAGGTCTGAGGCATCACCTGTTACAGTTCAGTCCTCAGATCTCTCCTCAGGAAGATGAACCCACATCCACACCTAGCCACAAAGACCCTAACGAACCCCACTGTGGCAGGGGGAGCACTAACGACTCACATAACGAGGGGGAGGAGCAACAAACCCCAAACTCAGGTGTTAACGTCTCCTTCAGGATCTCAGTATGTGGAACTCCCAACTAGTCAGTCAGAGCTGATGAAGCCTCCTGGATGAAGGTGGAACGTCTACAAGGAACTCAGCCAGTCCAGCTGCTACCATTAATCTACCAGAAGAACCAGGACCTGGAGGACTGAGGATCTTCTCAGACATGATTCTGTGTGTTGTTGTTCTGTTGTTGTGTTGTTGTTGTTGTTGTGTTATTGTTTTGTTGTCATTGTTTTGTTGTTGTTGTGTACTCACAGGCAGGTTGGTGAAGACACTGAAGGTGCTCTTCAGGAAGGCGATCAGGTCGACCAGGTAGTCGCTGGCCGTCAGAGCTCCGCCCCCCTGCACCGCTGCCATCCAATCGTAGTCGGCCAGCTGCAGGAACTGGTCGATCTTGGCGTTGAGGCTGGTGTAGATCTCGGCTTCGGCGGCGTGGCGGGCGTCCTGCAGGACACCAGGAGATCAGTTTATTAGTGAGGAGAGAAACGGAGAGCTGAGGAGAAAGAAGGTCCAGAAACAGGAACACGGGAGTGAAGGAGGAACAACCAGACGGAGACAGTGGACGGAGCAGCTCTACCTTGAAGGTGGAGGTCCCGTACAGCTTGGTGGCGTTCACCGTGTCCGGAGGAACGTTGGTGATGTTTGATATGAACTCCTCCAGGAAGTGGCAGCTCTGCTCCAGGTGGGTGGTGTTGATGATCACCTGCACCAGCTGGACAGCACAAACACACCGTCAGAGGTTCACCACCGTTACAAACACCGTCAGAGGTTCACCACCGTTACAAACACCGTCAGAGT